TTAATGAAGAGGGAAGTTTGGAGAACCTAACAGTCAGATGAGCTTTTTATTTGCAGCTTTTAGTGTTTTTTAAGTCCTTCTTGTCTGTCGTTTATTTTGTCCTTTTCTTTTTTTTAACCGCCTTGGATGCATTTGTCTGGTTTTTGAGAACTAATGCATATTGTTTGCTCATGTTTGAAACTGGTTTTATTTTAAAATATTTTACTCAACAGAACATATTTTCCCCAATGTTTCTTTTGTAAGATAATCGTTGAAGTTTTATGCAACAAATGTTGCGTGTAAAAAGTATCTCGTGCACATTTGCACTTGAACTTGCACGATGCACAACACATGATTCACTTGCACACCAAATTCAAGTTCAACCAATTGCTTGGCAAGGTATTCACAGCATGAAAAATCTGATTTAATGAAGCTTAATGGTAGCATAAAGCTTGCGTAAAGAAAGGATATACACTCCTTTAAGACAACATTACGTTACGTAAAGTTCGGCTTTGAGTCAGCTTTAAGCCAAGACTTAATGCACTATAAAGAGACTTCTAACTTTAAGCTGTCGTAAATGATAGCTTAAAGTCTTCCTAAAGGTGCCTAATGCTATCGTAATTGTCGCTTAAAGTAACTTAAAATCTAAGAATAAACCACTTTAGTAACTTACTGTAAAGGTGGATGATTTGTATATCATTTTMAGTATATTCAAATTTTAACTGGATWTGATCAYCATCAGCTATTCAATGCCCCCACACCCCGTTACGTTTTTGTTCCCAATCGTTGTTCACCCGGTCTCTTCGAACCAAACGATTATAATCAACAACTTAACAACCTTGTTCATTTAAGAATTTATTTATTTATTTTTCAATCAAAACATACAACAGATCATTACAGAAAACTCGCTAATATTTTCTTTCACCATTTTACAGTAAGACATGTGACTAAGTTTAGTATAAGGCTTTTAATTCAATGATCATTTGCATGATCATATTTTTGACGTACTTTGCCAAAATTTAAATAGAAAATAAAATTTCTGGTTAATGTAGATAATGTACAATGCTAGACTGAAATAAAAGATGCTTGCACCAAAACAGGAGGCAGGAACAAATGAATCTGGTCTAATATTATACTCATATAAGAAATAATTAAAGTTTTTCAGTGGAGAACGACTTTGTTGTTGTGCCTCATGTCATGGCTGCTATCACTTGATGGTGCAAAGCCTCTATATTGAACTTGAACAACTTAAATACAAAATCTAATTTTCACAAACACTACTGCTGTAATTTCTATATCTAACTAATATTTGTTGCCATCACTGTTTGAAAAAAAAGTGATATTGCTTTTGAAATATCCAAAAACTATCATAATATATTATAAATGTATAAACTTAAAACATATAAAGTAACCAGCAGTTGAATTTTTTTAAAATATCTTACAATGGAGTTGAAGTACTAATGTTGGGTACAACCTGACGCACTGCCCATTCTTGGGGGTTGTTGGGGATTGGCCTAGTTGAGAACATTGTGTGCTTCCGTCTTGGCAGCATGCTACGCCTAGATCTCATAGGGAGACTATCTAGATATTTCTGGTCAAGCAGCTCTTTCGTTTTTCTTAAACAAGTCCTTTCCCATGGAAACTTCTTCGTAAGATAAGATTTCAGTTGGGGCTTTCCATCTTCATCTTCAGAAATATCACTCTCGTCAGAGCTCGTATACTCTAAAGTCAAAACTTCTCTATGCTTTTCTCTTTTTTCCTGTCCACAATTCACTTTTTCTAACATATCAAGTTGTCTTTGCAATTTCTAAAAACAAAAACAAAAAAAATTACATTAGTCATCAAAACCTCTGTATATTTTGTTTATCTATTTATATAGTTTAATCAGCAAAGGCTTTGCCATTAAGTTAATAGTAAAATACATAATATGTGAAAATGATATTGAGAAAAATAATAATAATACTAATGAAATAAATTAATCAAATAAGTTAATTAATTAAAATCCCTAGTTCAGTACTTTAAGTATATTAGTTCTAAATATAGGAAGTGAATATTTTTATTGTGAAATGTTCCTTGAATTGATTGGTATTGAGTCTAAGATATAATGCACCTATCAGCAGCTTCCCTGTGGGATCGACCCACAGGCTGACCAGGGTGATGGGTGGAAGAATATAGGAGGATTGGATCCAGCTGTTCCCCCTGGGGTTGGGAAAATTTGTGACATTGGTTTTGCGGCTAAAAAACTGATGTGGGGGATTGTAACCTCCGCATTGAAAATAATTTCAAAACCAATGTCACAAATTTTCCCAACCCCAGGGGGAATAGCTGGATCCAATCCTCCTATATTCTCCCACCCATCACCCTGGTCAGCCCGAGGGTCAACCCCACGGGGAAGCCGCTGATAGGTGCATAAAGTTTACTGTGACACCACTAACTATTGGCATTATGTAGAATTAATCCTGAAAGCAATTAACATTTTGATAGTGTAGGTATGATGCTACCTTTGTATTTCTTTCTAACCTTTAGAATAATAAAACATCATATTTATAAGCATATATGTACCATAAACAATATTTTAAACATTTTACTTACATCTCTTATCCTTCCCTGTCTCCTGCAAACCCTACGATGCTCATCAGCATTGTTTTTCATGTCTCTCGAGTTTGCATCACGTCTGGACTTAAAGTAGGATGCCCCAGCAGCTACGAAGAAGACCAAAATATATATTCATATGAAAAATATATAATATATCGACACCAATAGCACTCATACCAACAAGAAGTCAAAATCTCCTTGTTTTATGATTCTTACATAAATCAATCAAAAAATGTACAATGATTATGAGAAGTAGCAAATAATTGGAACTGTATCTGTATAAAAAGTGGCCCATCCATTTTTAATTCATGGTCATTTAAATTTTTTTCACAAAGTAATTAATGATCCCCTTACCGTGTCTAATGCATGACTTTTTATATATTATCCCTTTCATTTCCATTTCACCCCCTAATGTACTATATGACCAGTTTCTTAATAGCACATTACTTATTGTTCACACTAATTGCATAATAGACACTGCATGGTTTCATGAAAAGTATATGTTAGCTTATTATAAAATATTGCTCTTGTTGTTACCTTTTAGTTGGGCATGAGTCCAAGGGCATTTATCACATCCTCCATTATCACCATCTACAGCTTGGATAACTTTTTCCACAATGTCCTGATTTTCTTTGGCCCCATAACTAAAAGCAAATAAATGTCATTTTTATATACAGTCCATGTCATTGTTGCCCACCGAAAAAAGACATTTACACATTTAGACAAAAAAAATATCACATGTTTTCTCAAACGTCCTGGCATAAGACAAATGCTGAAATACCATTCTCCATCTTTAATCCTTACTAAATGGGATTTTCAATTCACGAGTTGAATTTTACATTTAAAGTTCAGGCTGACGCACACAAGGCAAAGAATACATGATGAAACACGTGATATATCTTTTAGTCTAAATGTGTAAATGTCTTTTTTCAGTGGACAATGTTAATGACATTGACTGTATTAAATACACAAGCTTCAAACAGGGACAATATAATATATTAACAGTCATAGTATATTCAAATATCGTCCACACAGGCATCCCATCCATTGAGAATAGCATGATCGCTGATGGCTTGCACCAATAAAAAAGATAGACACAAAAAAGATAAATGTATTTAGCTATAAATATATAACCTACCTTTCAGTTAAAACATAACCCTCAAAGTTGTCTCCTTTTCTAAGTTTATTATACATGGTTCTAAAGCCTTGCTGTAAGACATAAACAGAATATATGTTAGAATTGTTTCCCTTCCTTAGCATTATGTCCCATAGGATTTTACATGTTACTTTTGAAGAAGGCAGAATTTTAGAGGACATGGCTTATGTTTACATTTCACACCTCGTAGGCTCATGTTATCCGATATAATATTTCAAAATGTAAAACCGCCAAAACTTTTAACTTCAGAAATGTGTTGTATTAACCAATGCATTAAAAAGCCCTCTTGATATTCAAAACAACTAAAATTCTAGAAAACCACACAGATGTGACTAACAACAGTAGTATTTGAATTTCAGCTACAATGATTTGTGCTACCCGAAAAAATATACGGTTTAATACTTTCGAAGGCAGAATTTTAGAGCACATGGCGTCTGTTTACATTTCACACCATGTGGCTCATGTTTTCGAAGCAAGAAACTCTTGATATTTAAAATAACTAAAAATCTGGAAAACCACACAGATGCGAATTGCAACCGTATTATTTGAATTTTAGCTACAATGATTTGTGCTAACTGAAAAAATATACGGTTTAATACTTTCGAAGAAGGCAGAATTTTAGAGCACATGGCGTCTGTTTACATTTCTCACCTCGTAGGCTCATGGTTTCGAAGCAAGAAACTCTTAAATTATCAAGGCGAAACCAAAATGAGCTAAATTTATTTCACACTTAAACTTTAAACTCACTAGAAACTATACTTACACGGCATTGTTGAGGAACCGTAATCTGCTGTGATTTACGGCGGCTCTTTCCAGACTTGCTTGCTCCGAGGCCTGAAGGACTGGCAAGCTCGTTTAAAGGGCAACTTACCCCCCAAAATGACCCATTTTTAAGAGAAAGTACATCAATTGAGAAACACAAAAATTCAATTTTTAGAGGGGATAGAGCATAGTGACCTTCTTAAAAAACAGGTTAGATAGCAAAGCACAATTCAGCTATTTTCACTAGCCATCCTTGGGCAAACCGTGCAGCACAGCAAAGCACAATTCAGCTATTTTCACTAGCCATCCTTGGGCAAACCCTGCAGCATTCTAACCTGTTTTATGAAAAGGTAACCCACCCCCCACACATCCCCCCTAACATGAGCTTGCTTAGGTGGTCAGAATTTCACACTG